TTGACGCAAGGTTATTTGGACAAGTTCAAGTTCACTGACGGGGGAATTTTACATTCCTTAACTGTCTTTCTACTGTTGAAACATTGAAAGTTGATGCCCCTTACAGGATTGTTTATAACCTTAAAATGTTGCATGACCTTGACTCAAGGTCACTATGGCCTGTCCGGAGCTCAGACGGAAGACCTATTCGTTGCATTGCAACGAGCTCGGCTCTAGTTTATCATATTTTTAATTTTCTAAGACTAAATAGGTACGCATAGTCTTAACTAATGAAAGCGAGTTATTATTATTATTATATCATAGGAATAAATTAATGTATTGTAGATTTTTTTAATTCTGTTTAAAAACACAATGTTTAGGCCAACAATAAAAAAAAAAAATATTTGTCTGATGTAGTCCAACCGGGAAATGCAGATTGTTCGTTTTATTTTTTAACGTTAAAGCTATATATGGCGTATCTGATCTAAAAAATAAAAAATAAAAATACGAGATTGAGTGAACATGATAAATTGTTATTTACGTTCAAATTAAAATTTTCACCGATTTTGAGTTTGAATAACCCCATGTTTCTATTGTTAGATTGACTTTAAACTGTGTCTGATATTTAAATGCGGAGTCGGTGCTACACACGGTTAATTGCTTCTGCTTTGGATGTGTAAGCAAAAAATATATATGATTGATTTAGATTGTAATGTTTTCTTTGACACTGGGAACTTAGGCTTTATAAATCTTTATAACTGTTTTTAAAAAACATCTAGGTATAAAGGGGACGACCAGTTGATTCTGATGGGAAAATGGGGGAAGGGGGTGGATTGGGTGGCAAATTTTGTCAAGAAAGATTATTTATTAATTATGCCCAAGATGACCAGATACAGATTAACTCTTCTTTCTTTGGAAAAGCTACCCCCCCCCCCAAAAAAAAAAAACCGCACAAAACAAAACAAACAAACAATGAAACTTCTTTCGTCAACACATCATATTTTGCATCAGTCAATGTGATACTGTTTATTTTGTTAAAGATGGAAGACATATTATTTATTTTCAACATTACTTATTTCCAAAATTGAAATCTGCCAGCCCCCTCCCCCCCCCCCCCCCACACACACACACACAAACAACTCCCAACACATAGGTCTAATGACACATACAGTTTCGTATTAAATAGCAGCTACGAAAGTTGTGAAAAAAAATCTTATTGCATACATTATTATATAAATTTTCATTGAGCCAACCGACTTTCCTCAATTTCAGGTTTTTCTCTACTTTCAAGTTTTGCATGATAGCGAGTGTCGGTGCACTACAGACAGAATTTGGTCCCTTTGTGAATGAAAATGCATATGATTCTTATGTAATATATGCTTATTTAATCATTTATATTAACATCATTTGTTAAAACTCTCAGAAAATTGCATAGACTTGAAATAAAATTACAAGTTATTTACTTACGTGTAAATCAAACGCAACACGTTCAATACGGGTAACTACACGTCACAAGATTGCGAAGGAACTTCAAAGTACACACATTCTGATGACGTCATACGTACAAGGTCGCTATAAACTTGTAACTAAAGCTCTCTATTATGTATTTTTATGCTTTATATTTCAGGATTATAGTTTCCCATTTGAATGACGTGGACGTCATTCCGCGACCGGGGGGAGATTGTAATAGTGTTGGATTTGTACAAAAATAAAGTAACAGAACTTGCCAGAATATATATTTTAACTTTTATTTAAATTTGTTATTCAAAACCTAGATCCACCCCTTAGTTCTCCCTTACCTGTACATACTTATATATATACCTAAGGGCATTGGTCAGGTGTTTTGGAAGTGGTTATTGTTATTTTGGTTTTTATTAGTTATTGATTTGAAAGGTCTAATTCTATTGGTTTTATTGACTGGGTTGGAGTTTTCCCGCTTTATTATGAGTATTCTTTGTTCAGTGGTTGATTTGACCAGACTATATATATTCATAAAAGACATTTTTGACTTTGGACAGATTTCCATTTCTGATCACCATTCATTTAGATACATGTATAACAATTTGTGGGATAGTGCAAACCAAAAATAAATAAACAAAAACGAAATTATTAAATAAAGAAAAACGAAATTATTAAATAAAGAAAAACGAAATTATTAAATAAAGAAAACGAAATTATTAAATAAAAAGCAAACGAAATTATTAAATTAAGAAAACGAATTTATTAAATTCAGAAAACGAAATTATTAAATAAAGAAAACGAAATTATTAAATAAAAAACTGAAACTAAAATACGGAATTTATAGATGTGCATGGTAAGGGCCTGAACCCATGAATCATTCCATAAAGCACACGTGTTCTATGACCTGATTTTGTTTCGACATTAAAACAAGTGTGATATTTGCATTTACACTCAGCTATTCCCGTATCGATAACATAATAACCAGTTGGAGTTGACAATCATAATAGATGAATAGGGGAGAATTTTACCTTTGGTTATCCAATATGCTTAGATCTATGTTTTTATCTTACATTAACAAGATTAATGTGAATTTAATTTGACCAGTCTCATGAATTGGCCAGTGATGACAAGTTTACGTTAGTATTAGCTTTCTTAAACCCTCAACACAGAAGGTCTAATTATTAGCAAACAATGAATCTGGACATAAAACATCAAAGAGATTATGCTAATAAATTGCACAAATATTTAAGATATACATGTCTGTTAAGATTCCGTTGTTTACCACTTCTGAACCTTATAACATTTAGGAAATTCCCATGGTTATACATCTTTTTTTCAATTATAGCACAGTACAAAAAATGCTGTAAAATGATACGTTACCGATCGGAACCCATTATAAATTATTGTTTAAAGAGAGCAAGTGCAAAAATTAAACAAGACAAAGTTGTTACAATGAGTAGATTTTAAATAATGATTGCTTACTTTATTAAAAATTAAGCAAAACACCTCTAATTTCTTGCACAGGCGCTCCCCATGTAATTCTGTAAATGACGAATGATAAGTATATATATATATATATATATATATATATATATATATATATATATATATATATATATATATATATATATATATATATATATATATATATATAGGTCTACCCCTCACTACCCCTCAATACTTTAAAATCAGATTGAGGGGTAGACCTATATATATATACTTATCATTCGTCATTTACAGAATTACATGGGAGCGCCTGTGATTTCATGGTCATTTATCAAAGCATAATCAGAAGTGATGCACTAACTATTTGTTCTCACATATTCTAAATGACAAATTCTCAGTCTGTATTTATAAGTCAGTGATAGTTTGAACAAACAATGCACACACTTGCATAACAAATCCAACAAGTATTCAAATCATTCTCTTTATTGTTTCAACAACCTAAGATTTATGGGTACACAGATAGGGCACTAGGTTTAGTTCGGGGGGAATTCAGCGATACGATACGCAAGGCCTTGACCTTTCAGCGATTCATGAGCTCTTTTGGAATGTCATTAATTTTATGTAAGCAGAAACAGCCATCCTCGCTACGTCCAGTCTTACAGGCTCAAACTTTGACGTTGTGGGGATACGACACAGCATCAAATTCCCGTAAACAAAATTGAACAGTTATTAATCATTTACTTTACAAATGCGAATTATAGGCTGTGAGCACATAATGTTTTTCTACGTTTGTCAATTTGACATTTATCTAAGTTTTTTTTTTTTTTCATTTCCCCCACACTTGTTTCAATGTCGAAACAAAATCAGGTCTATAGAATTACTAAGTGATGCTTTATAACACGTGCGCTTTATGAAATGATTCATGGGTTCAGGCCTTTACCATGCACATTTATAAATTCCGTATTTCAGTTTCAGTTTTTTATTTAGAAATTTCGTTTTCTTTATTTAATAATTTCGTTTTCTTTATTTAATAAGTTCGTTTGTCTTTTATTTAATAATTTCGTTTTCTTTATTTAATAATTTCGTTTTCTTTACTTAATAATTTCGTTTTCTTTATTTAATAATTTCGTTTGTCTTTTATTTATTAATATCGTTTTCTTTATTTAATAATTTCGTTTTCTTTATTTAATAATTTCGTTTGTTTCTTTATTTAGTAATTTCGTTTTCTTTATTTAATAATTCCGTTTTTTATTTAATAATTTCGTTTTTTATTTAATAGTTTCGTTTTCTTTATATAATAATTTCGTTTTTTTGTTTCTTATTTTTTTTTGGTTTGCACTATTGGGCTTCCGTAGGAAAGCCTATTCCCATAGAATGGGCATACACAATATACTACATATTATAACTATCACTCCACTGTGCAATAAATCATTGAAGAACCCTGACAGGATTGTTCAATTGTATTTGCTCCCATAGTGATACTCCTGTTACAATTTGATCCAGGGTATTTAGTTTAGATGACACATATTCAAATTTGTTATATATCACTGATGGAGTTTTGCGCATATCAATACTCTGAGGGACAGTGTTCGGTTGGTTTTGTATTGGCGACAGATAATCTGCAAATTGTCCTTCTGGATTTTGGATTTTGTACATGTACAGTGTACTTGGTAACCTTGAAACTGTATGCTAGGGGACGAGATTTGAAAAATCCTGTTGGTTCCACTGATCACTCCATTGTTGAATGACTGATCCATGCCAAGTGTGTTTTCTGAAATTCGTATACGTGGTATGGCAATGGCTGACTGGGTTGAATTCACTCGGACTTTTTGTTCACTTTTACCATTTGTATACAGCGTTTTGTTTTCCCGTTTTTTTGTTTGTTTTTTTTTTTTATTTTTTTTTTCTCTCGATTTTCCTGTTTTTTTTTTTTTCATCTTCTCCCATTACATATCATAATAGAAAAATCACTGCATAATGTTTTTAAAGACGAGAAAACTGAGAAAAAATATCCAAAAATATACAGATCGAAAATGTGTGGCTCCTCTATTTCTCCTCTATTTCTAACGCATGCGCTTCATACAGCAGGGTTTTTGACTGCTAGCCTCATTCAGATATAAGCAACGGCGTGTGGTAACAATGTAGATGCGGAACATTTTGTGACGACAAGGTAGTTATTTCTAGTTTGCAAACTTATTTTTTCTAAAATAAGCCTGGCACGAATATGCATTTTCTTAGTCCTTTCCCTAAGGTTATTCAATTTTGGTATGTGCTGGTTTTGCCTTGAGATTTTTAATGCATCATTTTAGTTTTGTTTAACATATATTCAGTGTTTCAATTAGTTCTGTTTGTTTAGACTAAAGTTAACATTTCTATTTTCTCACGGAAAATTTAAAATAAGAAATTATTTCACAAGCTAAGGGCACATGTGCAAGAATACTGATATTACACTGAATTATATGTCATGATAAGATATTTTGCAATATATCTAAATAGAGAGGCACAGTGCAAATGATAACTTGGGGATATAATAAGTTTCTCTCTGATAACTTGTAAAAAAGCAATCGACTTAATCTTAAACAAAACTGTGTGTGTGTGTTTCTAACACTTGGGAGAGTTAAATTATAGTATTCCACCAGTTCTTCTCACAACCCACTCTTGACCCAGAAAATGTTACTAACGTGAAAACAATTGTTTTATTATGAGAATTGCTTACATGTATATTGTATATTTTCCGTCCTACGCACTGGAATAATAGAAAGTCCCTGAAAATCATTTACACATCTGAAATTCAAAATTAACAAAGATCTCAAAAAACATGAACCTTGAAAGTACACGGTAAAAAGGTGTAAGAACTTTCAATATATGTGGAAAATCACAAATGGTGTTAATCACTTTCAATTTCTTAACGCTATATATTTGAGATAAAAATATAAATGCGCAATTTTTTTTATGATTTTTTCCAATTCTTTTAATATCCCCCCAGTTTTCTTCAAGGAAAGCTCGAACAAAATATTAAGTAAGTTTTGCATTTTTTTTTCTCCAGCTCCACTTCCCTGTCTCAATTTACATTTCCTTAATTGTTCGAACAGAAGCCAGATATTAAAGATAGATTAAAAGGATTCTTTTTAAATACATATTTTCTCCAGTTTAAGATTTTCGATGCATTTTCAATCTTCTTTGACTATTTCTATATCACTATTTTAAAACTCCCTTAGAGGAATTTTTCGTTAAATTCATAGGTATATAGGACATAAGCCACGATTTGCAATTAATTGTCATACCTTTAAACTATGCTGACAGATTTTCTCATTTTTTTTAGTTAAGTTTAAATTGATTCTAAAGGAAGTAAAAACAACAACAAATTATACCGAATATATTTAGCCGGTCAGAGATGAGCATGTTGATGACGACAAATATTTTAAACCTTACCAGGAAAAATAATAAAAGTTAATGGAAAAAAATCCATATATTGACATGTATTTTATGCCATTAAAAAATCCTCAGTAAGATAAAAGTCATATATATCTGCTTCTTGATTTATTATTTCAAATGTCGCAAGCTTCAGTGTACCGGTACATGTAAATTGGAAATTCTTGATGCTTTCAAGGAATGTATGTTTCAATAATTCTAGCTGGAATTCATCTTATGATGAAATTATACAATAAAATTTATAATATATAAGCTTTGAAAAAAATGTATTTAGGTATATTACCACTACAGGTAGGACACCCCCCCCCCCCAAAAAAAAAAAAAAAAAAAAGATCAATTCTATTAATTTTGGTATTATTTTCCGTTATTTTAGTTTGAAAATTCGGATTCGCGTACTAGATTTGAAACCTTGCTTTTCATTTTATGAACTGTGCAAAAGTTCATACTTTCTCTTACTTAAAGATAACAATTTTAACAGGAAATGAATTGCAATGTGCCTAACGCTGATGTAAATTATGATTTGTCGTGTTATTATGGCACTTACAGATAAGTGGAAAAAGTACATATCGAAATGGTAAATGTAGTGTATCCTCATTAAAAGTCACTGTAACCCATGTCTACGTAGTAAAATAATGACAATGTTTTCTAACAATTGAGACACTTGAAGTTCATCCGTCTAATACTTTCGTATGAAACTTTACTTAAAATATCTAAATGTATTCTTCAAAAGTTTGTCTTCCGCTTTTTATATCGGTATTTTTGTTGACCGCGATAGACACGTTGGCTCCAATTTAACCTAAAAAATATGAAATGTCAAATTTAACCAAAAAGTTCAAGTGTAACGCAACAAAAAGTACCACTATGTTTGAATGTGTCCTTTAGTATCTATACTAAATAAAAATGTTCTTCTTAAAGCCATATTTTTTATATGATCTAGTTATTGAGAAAAAAATATATATACAAGTATTAAAAAGTATTTTTCACTTTTCCTAGGAATTAATAAATTACGCAATGAACCTCAAGCACCATGCAATAAAATAATCAATAGGAAGATAAATCTACCTCTTGGTTTGCTCCTTAACCTTTGAATTTATTTATCTCAATATCGGAATCTTGAAAATTCCTTCTTATTATATATTATACAGTACCAACCAGACCCAACCTGACACAAAGCAGTCCCAGAGCAGTCCCGGGGACTGCTTTCTGGGACTGCTCTGGGACTGCTAAAGCAGTCCCAGAGCAGTCCCACAGCGGTCCCAGAGCAGTCCCACAGCGGTCCCAGCAGTCCCAGCGGTCCCAGAAAGCAGTCCCAGCAGTCCCAGAAAGCAGTCCCAGCAGTCCCAGTGGGCGGGGTTAATTAATTTAATGGGCGGAGCTTACTCAGAAATGAGATTACCAATAAACAATGTAACTATAAAAGGCAGTTGAAATTGATGATCCATTTCTTTCTGAGCAGTATCAATTCTCATGCGACAGTCATTTTTTAACTGTTAAGAAAATCACACCACGCGTATAGAAACAAATAATAAATATTGAACAAAGAAGACATTCACACCTATAAATAACATGAATATTCAAACACAGTTTTGTGGTATATTAATTTTTCACCAAAATTAATCAATTTCTAAATTACTGTGATTGATATTGGTTTCCATATTTATTTATTTATTTTTTTTATGGATAATTAAGCTTGAGTTATTTATTTTCTATCAAAACTAGCTCTAAATAGGCCTTATAATTATAGAGCAAGGCCGATTTCCATACTACATGTATACTCTGAATGCAGTTTTCTTAAGTATACTGGAGCTTTTGAAAAATTCTTTGTGTATTATATTTCAGTCATGATTATTTTCACTGACTTGCCAATTTGATTATCGTTAAATTATCTATGTAACAGAAAACAATAATACTTTTATTATATAAACGTTTGAGTGTACATCTGTAAATCACGCGAATGGAACCCTCAGATTATGTTCAAAATTAATTAATCCCGAAATAAATTTATACACATTTATTGAAACGAAGATTTTTTGCAGTACATAGATTGAAATTAGTGTCATTGTTGACCAGCATGTTCAGCGATGTGTACATGTAACACTGATACCCAAATAACATGCATTGACTTTCTGCTAATCATGCCCGAAGGCGATTGAAACTTCAGGTGTTGACACCATTTTATACATTTGTATTGCTTTTTATTAGTCGGCCAGGAAAACACAAACAAAACAAATAAGAAATAAGTCACAATCCCCAACATTTTAAAATGTTTATAAATTTACTCTTTTAATTACTTGTTTATAAATCAAAAACAAATTCATAAATAAATCCCCCAATAATTGTTCACAAATATAATGTTTTAAATGACTGAAGAATGGTAGAATAATTTTATTTCATGGTCATTTAATAAATTATTAGGTTTTATTTGAGGGCGGTAAAAAATAGCATGGAATGCTCTTTTTTAGCATGCATATAGTTTAAGCTTTTTCAATTTAAAAAAAAAATCCAGTACAGTACGTCCCTCTGAATGTCTTATTGTAATGACAAGTTTGTTTGTTTTTTTGTTTGTTTGTTTGTTTTTAAATAGTGCTAATGCAAACTTTGAGTACATTCCGTAACTTGACAGCATTAATTAATTAAATATATAGGCCTCGATATTTTTTTTCAAACACCTGTATTAAAGTTTTAATTAACATTAATTAATTAAATAGGCCTAGATATATTTCTTTTTTCAAACACCTGTATTAAAGTTTAATTTAAAGGATAAAAGTCATCTCCTGACTTCCCTTTTAACTACTTTAATTTTTTTAAAATTAATTCTACACTACAATTGTGTAAATTTACAACCTCTGAAGACATTTAGTAATTACATGTATATCTATCTCTTCTTATTAAAATGTTGTAAAAAAAATTCCTTGTTTTTTTTTTATTCTTTATCTTAAACACCTCTCTGCTGAAAGTAAACAAAACAACAACAGGAAGCCTGCAAATTCAGAATACACAAGGGGCGGAGCTATCATGTCACTCAGAACCTTTTTCATGCATGAGTGAACAAAGCAGTCCCAGAAAGCAGTCCCAGGGACTGCTGGGACTGCTGGGTCTGCTTTCTAGAGCAGTCCCAGAGCAGTCCCACAGCAGTCCCAGAGCAGTCCCACAGCGGTCCCAGAGCAGTCCCACAGCAGTCCCAGAGCGGTCCCAAAGCAGTCCCGGGGACTGCTTTCTGGGACTGCTTAGGTGTCAGGTTGGGTCTGGTTGGTACTGTATATGCAGTTTTCAAACACACTTGATCTAAGCTAGCACAGGAGATAAGTATTTGGTACCTGTTTGAGTTTTTATCTCTCAAATGTGAACAACGTTATACCTACAAAATGTGCTACGCTTTATTTACCTAATAAACGTGAACAAAACGGTAAGCTTATAGAAATTCCTAACTTAACTCAGTTTTGTATATCTTCTTCCGTTCCATACACCACATTAGATGTTGCTGATACCTTCCACATTTTCTCGAATATATAGGCTATAGTATATATAACCATATAACAATACAGTTTCAAGATAATGTCCCAACATAAGTAATTAATTAGACTGAAAGTGTTAAAAATAAGAAAAGTTTCACCCATTTCCACTTAACGTGTAGTAGTCCCCAACCAATATTTTGAGAAAGTATTTGATCCATTAACTTCCAAATTTAAGAGAAATCCAGATGAATCTAGATGGTGAATTTCCTTACTTAGTGAGGCT